TTTAAATATGTTTTTTTTCCCCCCAGTCCTTTCTTATTCCCTATGTCCTGGGCAAACTCAAGTTGATGAGACCTTTCTCCTAACAGGGTACAGTTTTCAACATCTCAGACTTAAAGGCAGGATGCACCAGGTTTGCCTTGGGCCCTTCCTGCCTAGATCCTTTCGGCTAATAATCCCTTTTCTCTCTTTATGATTCATTCTGAGCAGGCTTAGTGGTTAATCTTCTATTTCCAGTTTTATGCTTTGTTCCTCCCCCTTGTCTAGATCTGAAACATCCTTTCCTTCAACAATTCAAATGTCTTGGCTATTCATTTTCCCCTTTGGTTCAGAAAGCTTTAGTTGTCAATTCTATTCCCTTGTCAGCAACAATTTTTATTCTTACTGGCTTAGGCTGTCTGCCCTGGCTTTCTTTATAAGTGTTTTTGTGTAGAATTTTTGCTTCCTAGGAAGCCCACTGTAGCATAACATAATTAAGTGACAATATATGAGGTGCCAGGGCTTTCCAAGCAGTTAATGACTGGTTGGAAGATTTATAAGCAAGAGGTGAAATCAAAGAGAACCAAACATTCAAGTTCCATATAATAAAGAAATAAAAAATTAATCTGGTTCAAACTGTTGTTTAACAGATATTTGAAAAGAAGTACATGAAAACTTGCATATTAAGAAATCTTGAAATGCAATTAATTGCACATTCACTAATATGGCTCCATTTGCACCTTGTATTTCCTTTCCCAGTCTCCCGTATTTGTGTGCCTCCCATAACCTTCTCCTTTGGCATTTGCTTTCCAGCCTACTGATCTATGGCCCTACTTGATTCTTCACTGCTCCCTGTTAAATTTTCAGTAAAAATAAAATGAGTGTGACTGAGGTCAAATCTGACTCTGTATACAAAGCTACACATGCAAGATGCTAACTAGCACAGAAAATGTGTAATCATGGGAAAGTTAAAATTACAATGAGAAAATTAACTTTGGAATTTCCTGCTTAATCTGTCTCTTGAGTTAGTGCTTTAATTGGATGTCTTAATTTGGCTGTAAGTAAAAAATTAGAGCTAAGGTAGAAAAGAACAAATCAACAAACAAAAATATCTACATGCAACTTATTAGGTCCTAATGAAGATGCACAACAGCACATACCTCAGATTTTTGTGTAGAATTTTTGCTTCCTAGGAAGCCCACTGTAGCATAACATAATTAAGTGACAATATATGAGGTGCCAGGGCTTTCCAAGCAGTTAATGACTGGTTGGAAGATTTATAAGCAAGAGGTGAAATCAAAGAGAACCAAACATTCAAGTTCCATATAATAAAGAAATAAAAAATTAATCTGGTTCAAACTGTTGTTTAACAGATATTTGAAAAGAAGTACATGAAAACTTGCATATTAAGAAATCTTGAAATGCAATTAATTGCACATTCACTAATATGGCTCCATTTGCACCTTGTATTTCCTTTCCCAGTCTCCCGTATTTGTGTGCCTCCCATAACCTTCTCCTTTGGCATTTGCTTTCCAGCCTACTGATCTATGGCCCTACTTGATTCTTCACTGCTCCCTGTTAAATTTTCAGTAAAAATAAAATGAGTGTGACTGAGGTCAAATCTGACTCTGTGTACAAAGCTACACATGCAAGATGCTAACTAGCACAGAAAATGTGTAATCATGGGAAAGTTAAAATTACAATGAGAAAATTAACTTTGGAATTTCCTGCTTAATCTGTCTCTTGAGTTAGTGCTTTAATTGGATGTCTTAATTTGGCTGTAAGTAAAAAATTAGAGCTAAGGTAGAAAAGAACAAATCAACAAACAAAAATATCTACATGCAACTTATTAGGTCCTAATGAAGATGCACAACAGCACATACCTCAGATGGTTGTACTGAGTATTTACAAAATCTTGTAACATCTACCAGACTGTGTGACTGAATACTTGCAAGGATTGCGCTACGTATGTGCAAAGTGATTTTTAGATACCAGGTAGCTGTCTCATAGCTTCGAACCTTATTTTCTCAGGAGCTCTGAAATAATCATGGGGAAACTTCTACTTTCCTATTCTATGTTCAGCTAAATAGGTACAATAGAACTCTCAGAAGAAAATATCAACCCAAAAAAATATCCCCACCCCATTCCAGATAAATTTAAAGTGGTTGAATGTCTTATATTAGGTAGGAAAGAGTTTAGTGACCATGTAACGGACTGTTTCCTTCTGAAGGTATCACCTGGCACAAAATGATTAATTGTAAATACATGGCAAGTAAAAATATAACCAGGGTAATAAGAAGATATGCAGCTCATCTATAGTATTCTATAGCATTCGTCATTATCTATTTTAGATGATGAGATTTTAATCAACTCAGAAATGAAAGTAAGATTTTGAGAACTTTTCACTTTAAAAAAAATACGTTTATGAGAGCTAAGTCTTTGATTGTTAGGTGAGGGAACTGGGGTCCATGGTTTTTGAGCTTGCAATTGTATTTAGTCTTTGCACCTGTTATTGACAAAACTTCCAGACCTTTTATTGCTATAATATCATTTTTAAGATGGCTCCAGCAGGCTCAGCTTCCTTTCCTTTCCAAAAATTTCTAAGAACACAGGATCTGCTGTGAGGTACTTGTAAGCCTGACTGCTCACACTGATGTGGGGCATCCTGGTATTCATTTTTGCAGATATTTCCGGCTCTGGGGGATTTGCTCACAGTCACTAACTTTGCTAGGGATTTACTGAAAAATCAAAACCCTGCTTTTCTAATGTGTAAGTGGAGACACATCTGGCCCTGGGACAAGGTCTTGCCTCATAGTAGGTTAGGATTGAGCTACAGCCAGAACATTTGGGTATCTTTAGGGGGTAGTTCTGTTAACTCACAGTAGCCTAAAGAATATCTGTTTCACCATGGGCATTCTATATAAGGGAGCAGTAAATATCTTCCAGAAGCAGAAGCACCTTTTAGTTAGGGTTGAGGAAGTTGATAATTACTTGTCTCTTGTTTTAGGGAGTAACTGTTAAATAGCTCCCTGCTGGGACCCAAAGATTAGAGCACCTAGGAGGTACTTGGATTAGGTATCTTGGATGTGGATTTATGGCCTCAAACTCAGGCATGCAAAAAATTAAAAATACAAGAAGGAAAAAAGGAAGAAGGGTGGTATGGAGGGAGAAAGGAAGAAAAAGGAGTCATATTAATTTTCTGTACCTCAAACTAGTCTCTTCTGGGCCTTTTTCTGAATGGTAGGTCTGCTTTATTTCTGATAAACTGCCAATTCAGTAATAGCCAAGCATTCCAGGGGTAAGAACAGTTCTGGTTTCCTTCCATGTTAATTCTTTTGTTGAATCCTGAGGGTCGGGGGAGGTGTGTGGCAGGCGAGGGAAGTGAACTTCCAGTCCCCAGCCTTGTGTCTCTCTTTGCACCTGCTGGCCTCTAAGGTGCTCCTTTCCATTTTTGTTTACCACCCTCCTGCCATGATGCTCAGTCATCAGGCCCTTGTAAGTTACTCTGTTTCCAGATGCAGAGTATCCCTAGGTCCCCCACTGTTTCTCAGACACTCACGTCTGGAAGCACAGGGCCTGCCTGCTCTAGGGGTAGATGCGTCTCCTCCCACCTTTCCCCTAGGCCCACCCAGTTGACCTTCTCTGTGGTTACTGCTCTGTGCATGCAGGGTTCCTTATGAAATCTGTTTTCTTGCTTCCTTGTGGAGCTAGGCACATATTTCCTTTCTTGAGACCCCCTTCAAACTTATCTGAGTTTTGATTCCCTTTCTCCTGGGACACAGCATAGGGTGGGATGAAGTGATATTTTCTGTCTCAGGGATTCACCAGGGCTGTTCACTCAGTTGCTCAGGCCAAAAATCTTCATGTTCACTCTTGAATCCTTTCTTACATCCTGTATCAATTGCATCAACTACTACTGTTTTCTTTGTAAATTATATGTTTCTTCAGTAATCTGTTTCTCCCCCTTGAATGTAAGCTCCATGAAAGAAAAGAATTGATTAAATTTACTGCTGTATCCCCAGAAGGATGGTATGTGTGCGAAGAAGTTATCAAGCAAGGGAATGCCTGAACAAATCTCCTAAAAAGTACTTTCCTTTCATTATTGTCAACCCTTTGCATGGCCATCTTTGACACTTTTTATTAGTGTGCAGTTTTGCTCAGTGTAAATTCCTAGGCATAGAATTTTTAGATTAAACTATGTGTCCATGAAAATATACTGATATATATTGACAAATTTCCTCTAAAACGTTCGCATCAAATACACTTCCATTAATAGCAGATGGAAATGCTAGTTTTTCTGGTTCTTCAGGAATACTGGGCCAATCAATGATCCTTCAAGATCTTTACTAGTTCGTTAGTTGAAGAAAAGAATGATTATTTTAATTTAGACTTATAGAGTTTTAATATTGTTAATTCTGAGTAAAATGTGCTAATTCTGTTATTAGATTGGGATCATATCACATACTATGGAATATAAGCATGACTTCATTATTGCATACTTAAAAATAAAATAAAAAATGAAACAATTCCTCCTGAAATTGCCTTCATCACATTAGTTGTGGAGACCTGCAAATGGCACCATACTTTCATGCATCTGTTAGTTTTGGAAAAATTTTGTAGAGGTGTCTCTGAGCTTTACCCACTCAATCCTTTGTGCTTTTTCTTATACCAGTAAAATAAAGGTATGTGTGTTTTGCTCTAAGCTCCATATATCGGAGTGGATGGTTAAAAAAAGGAAATAATTATCTTATATAGAACTCCTGAACATAGTAACATGCCTCTTAAGGGAAAAGATAAGTTCACAGACAATGTTTTATTTGTAATGGGTATAATGAGGTGAATCTGACCTTTTGCTATGTGTGGGAGTTTTCCTTCTGGAATATGAAAAACATAATTCATTTTGTAATGGGGCAGAAGCATTCCAAGCTACCCTCCCCTGTCTTGCTCAGCATATTCATGTACTTTTGGCTAATACATTTGTCTGTATAAACTAATGGATCCTTTCTATTCTCTGTGCCTTATAGCTCCTGAAGAGAAGGCTTCTGTCTCCAGCAATGTGAGCCCTAAAACCTTTGAAGGAAATGATAATATTCCACTTCCTTCTGTGTACTTTATTGCTTTGTATAAATATGTGAAAAGTGGCATTTTCAGCTGTAAGGTATGTATGTGTATATGTATCTGTTTGTAAGTATTGGGTCAGAAAGCCTGAAGGTTTCAACCAAAAAAGATAGCATTTTGATCACATTAGATGGATTATATTATTGGAATACTGGAAATACCTAATAATTGTCATCTTGGTTACCTACAAATGTTTACTTTTGATTATATTTAATTTTACTTCCTGATTATATTTGACCAAGGACTATTTCAGTAATAAACTAACTTGCTTCAACAACTGTTCATATATTGTCAAATTAATAATTCTTGAAAGAGAACAGGTCATGTAACTCTCATTTACCTTTTTTGGCTTGTACATGGATTTTCATAGACTGCAATGGAAATACTGTGCACCAGGATTATCTCTTCAGGCTTAGGTGTAAACACTAGCGCTTACTGTAATAACTTGGATCATGCATCATCCTAGGAGCTAGGGTTATTTCCTTGAGACACTTTAGTGGATGGATCAGTTGCCAAGCAACTTGCATTCTTATGGGGCCAGGCTGGGAAACAAAAGGGTGCCAGGTGGTAATACACAGAAGGAAAATGACAAAGACACATGGAAAAATAAAGCCTTCATTTGGGAACTGTCATGCACAACTGTTTAGACATGTGGATTATGTTCCCCCTTAATTCATTTCAACAGCTCTCAATCAATGGTTATATCTATGACTGTCTCTACATTCATCCAGCTACCCATGCATTCATCCCCCCTGGCAGAGTGATGGTGAGATTAGAAATTATAAGTAGTAAGCTAAAACTGTATCTCTTATATTAACTATTTTGTCAGTAACTATTATTCACTCATTTCTTATCCACTCACATAAGTTTCTCTATTCTTTTCTCTCCTCTATGTCTTACACCTTTTTACTTTTCAGCTCCTCATCTTACTTTCTTTCTCAATACTGATTTTATACATGGGTCCATTGCTTCATTGCTAGTTGGTACTTAGAAATTGAACGTAAGTGGAAATCTAGATTCCTATAGAAGATTGTTAGTTTGTATCCACACCACAGAGTCCTTTCTCCTAGAAAACTATGTGCTGAAAGCTAACATACGTGTTTCTAGGTGGAAAACAATAGTGGCAGTCTAAAATATCAGAAGTTATGATACATAGTCATACATGAAATCATCTCATATATTTTAAAATGAAAGTCAGTTCTATTTGTTCAAATATGTTATAAAAATAAACTTTTTTTTCACTAGAGAAACTAAAACTAAAGAAAAACTGTGGGTTCCTTTTTTTGAGACATAAGCCAGCATTACATACAGTTTATAATTCTCAGGCTTTGGGTTTTTAGTAGGCTGCCCCTAGGACCATGGAACAATAGGAATCCAGTTGTTCTAAAAAATTACAAGAAAAAAAAAGGTATAGTCTTGTTTGGGGACACATCTGAAGGAATAAGGAAACATTTATTTGGTGCTTACTAGATATCTGGCATTGGGCTGGTTAAACTTAATCTTCAAAAATCCTTGTACACTGGGTATTATTATCCACAAATAAAAATATGAAACTAAGGCTTGAGGAAGTTAAGTAACTTGCACAAGGCCACTCAGCTCCCCCAAAACAGGACTTCTGCCCCTTTTGTGTTTCATTCTCCTGAGCTACACTACTGATGAAGTATTTTCTCTTGAGATGCAAGTAAATCAATACAACCAGTGAGTTTAATGGGCTGATACAGTGTGGGTGCATGCTGGATTGGTCATTCTGAGGGGATATGTGTTTGGAGAGGTCAGGGGGGATGTCAGTGGCTGTTGCAGAAATGTGAGGGGAGAGGTGACTGGACTGCTGGGATCCTGTCTGACTTCTCCTGGGTCTTAGGCCATCCATTTATACTGACCTTAGCTCTCCCTTATGTAACTCTTACCATTTTTTTTAATCCTTCTTATTCTTTTCTACTTTTATTACCCTCTGGCTGTTGTCTGCCTTTTTAATGGCTATAGTGGATAGAGCTGATGGGCCACCACCACTCCTTGGCTCCCTTTTAGACACATTTGTGTACCCTTCTCCGCCATCTTACATGCTTCTTGCTGCTAGAAAGCCATACCTGCCACTCCCTTCAGAAGGCTCTCCCTGCAGCCTCTACTGCCAGAGGGCCAGCAGGGCCTCAGAGCTCACACTGACCCTCGTACTCTTGCCCCCAGGACTGACTGATGTAGGAGTATGAGAGGCCAGTCCTCTTGCCTCCTATCTGGAGAACTCACTCTTAGTATAATTTTCCACCTGACAGCTCACCTGCTAGATTAGTCCGAGGCTGGGAGCTGGCTGAACTTGCATGTATACTCTGCTTCTTTCCCTTCTTCATTGTTTCTCCCAGGCTTCCTGCAGTTCTTTTGGAGGGTGCTTACTAGATCATTTGCTCTTGAATTTTTGTCTCAGATTCTGCAAAATACTCAGATTTGAAAGGGCTGGTGAATAGAGGATCTGATATGACACAGTTACTTGGGCACCCACAGCACCCCCATGGCTTCTCTGTTAGAGGGAGGGAAAACGGAGGTCAGCAGATAAATGAAGTTCTGTCCTGAGACCATCTCAGATGGGGCCCAAAGGGCTTCTGGCCCCATCTGGTAGTCATTTTCCAATTTCCTGACTGAATAACAGGTGGGCACAGTCAGCATCTTGCAGAATACTCACATTGGTTCCCTAACCTGTGGAGTAAGAGCTGTTGTCGTAGGAAAGACTAAGTGAGGTTACCCAGGTCAAGACGGTTAATCAAAAATAATGCTGTCCCCCTACCTCTGCATGAATGGCAGAGGTTAGTCCCATCCTCAGACACTTAAAACCAGCATAGATGGTTGGCTCCATAATATCCCCATTTAATACATTATTCTGCTTCTTGTGGAAACCAGATGAGTCATGGCAGATGACAGTGGATTACCAGCAGCTAACTAAGAGGCAGTCCCAGTGCAGCCCTTGTACTGCCTGGGGCATCTTTGTTAGAGCAGATTCACACTGCTCTCATTTGTAGTGTGTGGCTATTATGTTGGCAAATATCAATTGTGAATGAGGATCAGAAGCAGTTCACTAGGATGGAAAACAGTGTACATTCCCATCTTCCCCTAGGTCTGAGTCAGCTCTCATGCTCTCTGTCACAGGTTTGAAGGGACCTCTATCTACTGGACATTCCTCAAAATATCACTTTGGTCCACTCTATTGGTGGCAGCATGTTAGTCGATCATACATGAGCAGGAAGTGGCAAGTACTTCAAATGCCCTGGTAAGACACGTGTACTCCAGTGACTGAGAGAAACTACAAAGATTTAGGAGCTTGCCTTATCAGTAATATTCTGAGGGCTCCATTAGTCTGGGATATGCTAGGATTTTTACCGCAGCAAAAGAAGTGCAGCTGTGGGCCCAGGTTCATGTAATTCATTGGTCTTACCACGCTTCTCACCATCCTGTAGTAGATAGTTTGATAGAATGGTGAAATGGCCCTTTGAAGACTGAGTTACAGTACCAGCCAGGTATTGGAAAGAACATATTTACCAGCTCAATCACCACATTTCAGGCTGGGGCAAGGTTCTTCAGAAGCCTCCGTCTTCTGTCTGAATCAGTGTCTAGTATATGGTGTTGTTTCTCTAATGGTCAGGATTCATGGGCCTAGGAATCAAGGGAGTGGCACCCCTTTCTATTACACCTAGTGACCCACTTGCAAAGTTTTTGCTTCCTGTTTGCAACTTTATACTCTGCTAGGCTACAGTTCTTAGCTCCAGAAGGAGGAATGCTTCTACCAGGTGACACAACAATGATACAATTGAATTGTAAGTTAAGAACTGCCACCCAGCCGCTTTGGGCTCCTGATGCTTCTGAATCAATAAGCAAAAAAGGGAGTTACTGTGCTTAGTGGGGTGACTGAGCCAGAGGGGAAAGTGTACTACTACTCCACAGTGGAGGTAAGGAAGGGTATGTCTAGGGCATAGGGGATCCTTAGGAGGTCTGTTAATATTACTATGCCCTGTGATTCAGGTCAATGGAAAACTATAGCAACCTAATCCATGTAGGACTACTAGTAGCATAGAGCCTTCAGGAAAGGAAGTTTGGCTGATCTCAACGGGTACAGAACCACATAGCTGAGGTGCTTACTGAAGGCAACGTGAATACAAAATGGATAGTGGAGGATGGTAGTTAAAATTACCAGCTACAACCTATGTTTTCTTTTTATCTCCTAGTCACTTATTTTATGTCACTTATATTATGTAATATAAGATGTACTGATTTTATATCATAGTATTTAAGTACTGTTAGTTTTATATCATTTATTTACATTATGGGATGTCAAGGGAAGAGTAAACATCACTCAAGGTCTTTGCCTCCTCTTCTGGGGAAGAGGTTAGTGTGTTTTTGTTTGCACTCAGGATAGCTGTATCATGTTGGGCAGAATTGTGACCTTGTAATTGTTTTTATTTGGAGATGAAATGTGGTCTATGAAGATGAGTGTGAGTGCCAAGTTGATAAGGGGTGGACTTGTGATGGTTAATTTTATGTGCCAACTTGACTGGGAAAAATTAAACATTATTTCTAAGCATTATGTTTAGAAACGTGAGGCGAGGATGTTTCCAGAGGAGATTAACATTTGAATCAGTGTATTCAGTAAAGTAGATTGTCTTTCTCAATGTAGGTGGACATCATCTAGTCCTTTGAAGGCTTGAATAGAATAAAAGGTGAAAGGATTTTGTCCTTTGTTTTCCTGCCTCATTGGCTTGAGCTGGGACACCTCACTTCACCTTCTCTGGCCCTTAGACTGGGATTTGCACCATCAGCTTCCCTATTTCTCAGGCCTTCAGAGTAGGAGTGAATTACACCACTGGTTTTCCTGTATCTCCAGCTTGTATACAGTAGCTCATGGGATTTCTCAGTATGAGCCAGTTCTTCACCATAAGTATCCATTCCATAATAAGTATACTTTTAATAAGTATATATATCCTACTAGCTCTGTTCCTCTTGAGACTCTAATACACCATCTAAATTAAAAAACACATTTTGGCACTTTTAAGTTCCTAT